GCTCAAAAGTTTGCATACCCTGGCATAAATTGTGAAATCTTGCCATTGGTTTTGAAAATATGACTGATCATGAAAAGTTGCTTATTAAAGGATAGTGATCATATGAAGCCATTTATTATCACATAGTTGTTTGGCTCCTTTTAAAATGATAATAATAACAGAAATCAGCCAAATGGCCATGCTCAAAAGTTTACATACCCTAAAATGTTTGGCCTTGTTACAGACACAAAAGGTGACACACACAGGTTAAAATAGCAATTAAAGGTTAATTTCTCATACCTGTTGCTTTTTAAATTGCAATTCGTGTCCGTGTATAAATAGTCAATGAGTTTGTTAGCTCTCATGTGGATGTACTGAGCAGGCTAGATACTGAACCAGGGGAAGCAGAAAAGAACTGTCAAAACAAGTTAATACAACTGTATAATGATGGGAAAGGATATAAAAAGATATACAAAGCCTCAAATGCCACTCAGTACTGTTTCTCAGTACTCAGTACTCAGAAAGAAAAGAATAACATACAAAGAATCTTGACACAAGTTATTAACTCCTTAAGGAAGGTGATTGTGTTATGCCGTCCTTAAGGAGGCAATCCTTAACACAGCCGGTAGGACGTCTTAGCTGTCCTCGAAGCCCACGTGACTTCCAGCATTACCCCACTGGAGATCGGGATCACATGTCCAGGGGACTGCCTGTGTTGTCAAGCTGAAATTAAAGTTCCAAATTGCAATTAAAGCATTTAATCAATATAGTATACATACATTATATATGTACACTATATTATAAAAGAAAGCATTTTATTAATATCTTATACATACATTATACATATGTATACAATTGAATTGATACTGTACTTTTATAATATTAAACGTCACTCTATGCCCATTATAGGTGCAGGGTCTGTATATTGTATTTGTGTATTGTTCAATGTTTTGTGTGCTGTCCTGTCCTGCTGATGCTTACTACCAACTTTGTGGATTTGGCTATGGAGCCTGTATAGCACCCTCTCTTGGTAGGAACAGCTATATGCACTACCTGAATAGCAAGGCTTGTTAATTTGCATATTCAGGTAGATTTGCAGATTGGTCATTCTGTAGGCAGGAGAGATATTTTGTGTTAATTATTGTCTTCCCCACCCCTTCATAAACTTGACATTATGTTATTATAAGTACCTGTAAATTGTCTGATATGATTTGGTTATTTGTATTTTATTGAAGTTGTCGCAATAATCTAAATGTAATAAGCCTGTGGGCTAGTCCTGAGTAAAAATAAAGCTGTCTTTGAACCGGTTGGCTGGCTGCATGATCCCTCTAGCCCAAATAAAATTTCATGTGAGAACCTGTTTGCAAGTGAAAGGGATATATCAGTGCAGGGTAAACATTGTAATGATGCAAAAGCACCTACATGTTGATCTCACATTCAAATTAGTAGATTATCTGAATTGGAGGATTATGCTAAATATGCATACACTAAACATGTAGTTTTCTATAGGCAAAATTACATATTAGCACTAGAGCAGTGGTGACCAAAAGTCAGATCCCAGATGTGAACATTTGATTCCTGCATGAGCAACACATGACAAAGAACCATAAGAGCTTTTAAAACATCTGGTGATCTACATTTTGAGCACCCAAGCACTAGAAGGTAGTTGAATGGGATAGGCATCTCTTTTGTTGTTTTACCTAGCTTGTTCCTTGTTATCTACCTGCAGACTTTTTTCTTTAATTGTGTGGGTATAGCTATATAGCATTTGTCTTTCAAAGGAATCAAGGTACTTAAACCTCTATTCAGGGGAACAAGAAAAAAATAACTTTGGTACTTTGTTTTAGGTATACATTTTGAATGTCTATTATAAATCACTATTTTCCATGTTTGTTTAAATTGAAGAAATGATCTAAATACAAGTAAAAAAAATAGTTTTTCCATTACTATACCATAATTACAATCAACGGGCAGCATTCTATTAGAAGATATACACTTAATTTGAGTAGCTGAACAGCAGTTTTCCCATTGAGAGCTACAGGTAAACTATACTAGAATACAAACCAAAAGTGAAACAAATTCAAATGTTTAGATGATAAACCGCAAAATCATTCAATTTTGTTAAGTGCAGCACTTAAAATACACCCTCATGCAAGTGTATAAGGGCTTACCTGTATGTTTTTAATGGATGATTTTCCACATAAAAAGGGAAAAATAAAAGAGAAGTACAATAGTGTGGTAAAAGATGGATATACAGGATATATAAAAGATGATAATGGATGCTCACAATTGTAATGCCTTTTGAACACTATGGCTCTGAATGTGCACGTTTTCTGTGCCTTTAGGTGGTAACACAAGCTCTTCAATGGGTCATTAGACATACTCCAATGTGATGTATGTATAAAACAAAGGATACAAAAATGGCAGATAGAATAGTCTCTTAATGACACATAGGTAGCATATAAATGTGTTAGTTTTGCTTACCTTTACTAGTAGCCCATAGTGTGCTGGCTCCAAGTTTTTTCACATTACAAGAAAAGAGTCTTCTGGCCTGGATTCTACAATTTCTGTGTTGGATATCCACAGAGGGAGTTTGTAACTTCTTACTTGACAATCTGTGGAAAAAAAACAGAGAACAATAAGAGTGTTTGAGCTAGTGTGCTGTCTGTCTAGTGTAATCTAATATCTGGAACCCCCAGGCAAACATCCAATGGATGTAATTGACATATTGCCTGAGACACTGTAGGTGGAGTGTTTCTCAAAATGTATCTTGTGAAGTTGTCCTGGAATTTTCTAATAAAGCAGGCTGACAATGCTATGGGGTTGGTTCTGAAAAGATATAGGAAACTTAGGGTACTGAGTTAATTCTGCAAACCAGGAAACCTCAATTTTGGACTAGTTCTCTGCTGATTTGTTGAGTTGGTTGATGAGTTTTGTGTGGTTCATGATGATAAGGGCCTGATGTGTCAGTGTGAGTTGTATGCCTAGATAGGCAATAGCTTTGTTTTTGAAATCTCTGTAGGAAAAATTTTAAATCATGGGGCACATTTACTCGGAGGTCGTCAGTCTTTTCCATGTTGTTTTCATGGTAGGAAACTTTGTATTAGTTGTATTAGTGAGAGAATAGATGTCGGGGGACTGCTGTGGGATAGTAAGATGTCAGCGAAAAGTGCTTTTTCTTGACGGCTTAAGGTGTGGGTATTCTTGTTAGGTTCAGGTATTTTTTTTATTTTATAGACCAAAGGCTCAAGGACTAAATAAAGATTAGAGGTGACGATGGGCACCCTTGATGGGTGCCATTTGTGATCATAAAAGGAAAGAGAAAGATCTGGAGTTCATAACCCTGACGGAAAGAATTGAGTAAAAGCATGAACCCAGTTAGTCCTTGGGAAATAATTTTAGGAAGGATGCTTCCATTCTGAGAGCTTAAATTTTAACATAGAGCTTGGTGTCAGAATTTAAAAGCAAAAATGGATGGGTGGTGGAGCATTTTGTAGGGGTCTTACCCAGTTTGGGCAGTGTTATAATAGTAACTCTAGCACTTCTTTAGGAATAGTGCCAGTATCTTTTAGATGATTAAATAAGACTGTTAAATGCAGGACAGGGATAGGGGAAATTAGTAATTAGGGAAAACGTTGGGGCCTAGTGCTTTATTCTTGGGTAGGGAATTGATTGCCTTAAAGATTTTCAATTCAGTAAAAGGTTCATCAAGAAGGTCCTTTTGGTCTTGGGGCATAGTAGGAAGGGGTATGTCCTCTAAAAAGTATTTTATACTTTGGAGTGTTGGCTGAATTATAGACCCATCTTGATTTAGATTACAGAGTGAACTGTAGTACAAACTGTAAATATTTTGTGATATGTGAGGGTTTATGATTTTTTTTTCTCCTTTTCATTTATGCTATGGGAAATACTTGTCTGCGATTATTAAGTTTTGAGTTTCTGTGCTAAAAGTTTACATCCCTTACTCCCTTGATAGTAATGTAATGTGTGTAACCTTGTTTCTTTAGATGGTGTTCAGTAGTCTGGAGATGTGTGGCATGAAGTTTCTCCATAAGTTTAGCTATTTGTGCAGTTGTGGTTTCAGATGGTTTTAATTTGTTTGCCTGATCTAGGTGTAAGGTGTATTTAGAATATCTTCATGTAGTCTTATAGATTTCTGTTTTTTTAGTTCTCCTTGTTGTAAAAAACTTCCACAACCCCCTGTTTTTAGTAGGTGAAGAGAGTTGCAGTGTGAAACTAACCAGGGCACAGAGGCCATATGTCATACAAGTCATGGTATTAGGAGTATTTTGGTGACTTGCTTGCTTGAACTCCTGCTGGTTTTAGAGGGGAATTTGCAGAGGGCAATTTGTGTGTCTACAGCGGTATGCAGTACACAGTTACAAAATCACCACATATTATTCGCTGCCCCTGTTGAATTGACTTATTTAGCTAAAAACTGTAGTTGGTTCTTGTTTCATGAATAAATATTCACTGTGGTTAAAGGCTTGTCATTAGGTAGACCCACTGCAATACGTATCCTCCCAGCTGAATCCCTGTATTGGGTATTAAGTGTAAAAGAGATGTCCCTGTTTGGAAGGATGAATACCCCCTTGGATTTGGTTTTTGCATATGCGTAAAATGTCTTGAGAATATGTGGAGGAGTGCATTTCGAGGGTGGGGTTTCTTGTGCAAAAGTGGGTCTCCTGAAGAAAGACCATCATTGGGTTTAGGCGGTAGAAATCAGAGGAGGCCAATTATCATTTGTTTGGTGTGTTGAGATCTTTGGCATTAAGGGATAAAACTAGTACGTCATGAGTCTTTATAGTGTACTTGTAAAAAGGTGTACCTGGTCAAGTTGGTATCTTCGAATTGTGTTCTTAGGCTGCTGATCTAGTTTGATGGAGGCAGGAAGAGAGATGCTTGAGGACTGTGGCATCGTCTGTGGGTCTAATGGTGAAAGGTGCTGAGCCTGGCGCTCCAAGGAATAATGGGTAGGGTAATTTAGGCAGAAAACAAAGAAACAGTGAACAAAAAAACAACATACGGTTGTTGATGATGATGATCAGATCACATTTTATGACCAATTTGTGCAGAAATCCATATCATTCCAAAGGGTTCACATACTTTTTCTTGCAACTGTATAAAACACTATTTCATGTTGTAGCTTAGAAGAAATAGCAACTGTGGTTGCTCAACTAAGTGAACTTTCGGCTTTAGCCAAAATACTGGTGTCTCTCACCCATAGTTGTGCATAATGGGGTTAGTCATAACAAAGTGAAGCTCTCCATAAGCATCACAGTGGTAGGTTTGAAGCACTACGACTGCTGGCTTTGGCCAGTTTAGTTTCACTAGTGGAAAACTCACAACAATTGTTTTTTGTGTGTGTTTTTTTTTTTTTGTTGTTGTAAGTTTTGTCTGAATTTTAATTTTTAAAAAAATATATATTGTAAATCTTTTTGTGAGCATGAACCATCTTTGATTTAACAATCATAAACTTATAAAAGTGGGAATTAATGGATAGTCAGAATGACAGTGGTTAAGATGACAGACTCCAGTATTGTAGGATTTTGAGGCTTTCGAGAGGAGTGTGGAATACTTTGATCACTGCATTCCTCCATACCAATAATTTAATGGGGTAGTCCATCTGTATGATCATCTAATCATGTCTGATGTCCGAGCAACTTTTTGACATTGGCAAATATTCCCTCCTGGCCATTGTGGAAGCTGAAAGGTCTGCATAGATTGCCAGGTTTCAGCTTTCTAGCAGCTGCTGGAAGAGCATTTTTAGTGTGGTAATAATGTAGTCTTTTTATAACATTTCTAGGTGATTTCACTGGGATACTCCTAGGCTTTGGCAGTCTGTGAACCCTGTCTAATAGCCACTCGTTTTCAGGTGTAGTAGGGACCAGGGCCTTGAAGAAGGAGCATAAAAATCTGGACAGTTCATCCAAAGTTATATCTTATGGAATCCCTCTAATTCTAATGTTATTTCCCCTGACTCTTCAACGTCAGCTAGCTTTTTTTTTTTTTTGTAAATCTTTCTTTTATTGAGGCATAGGAAGAATGGGTACAGAAAATAAAAGGGAGGTATACGAAATGATCATACATCAGAAGTTCAGTGACAGGTACATTGATGCATACTCCGTGATATGACTGCCTCATTTTAATTTTATATTATACATGCTAAACTAACACATTGCAGCAATAGAGCAGTGTTGGTATGGAAAGGTTGTGTGTTAGATGTGTTTTGAAAGGAACATGGTGGGTAGTGAGTTTGTTGCTAACTATGGTGAGAAGCTTATCAATTCCACCTAGAGTAAACATTTAATAAAGTAAGCTTAACTATGCACGACAAGACAACTTATTAAAACATGCTAGGTTATTACATCTTTGTTGTGTGTATTTGAGTGCGAGTAAGGTTAAACAGGCAAGTAGAATGCTGCATATTCGTTTGTTTAGTTAGGATATGCTCCACGTTGTGGGCTATTAAGCTGGGTCCAGATAATAGACATATCAGGCGCAACATTTTTTTTACATGAGTATATCATACATGAGTATGTCACACAGGCTGTCTGGCATGTCTACCCTAACTTTAAGCATCATGGGACCTTGAGAAAATGTCAACTAGACATGTGGGCGCCCAACTGTGGGAGCGAGAGCCATTGGACTGCCAATCAGGAGAGGGTGGCGGCCCTTGGCTGCGCATGTTAGCCAACAGGTGAGTTATCATCCAGTGTAAAAATAAAAGCATAGTAAACATAAGTGGCAGGTTAGAATGATCGTTGGTTTCAAAATCTATACGGGACCGGGTAGCCGCCGCAGCAGGCTGGTAAGTCCACGGTATACATGGTGAAACTGCCCTGCTACGTAAGTGAACAGTCAGCCTATGCCCAGGATCGGGAAGCACAGGACAGGTAGGTGTAAGGTCCAGATGGTACAGTCTCTGTGGGTTTTGGAGTGTCCCTGCGGTGTTGCTGGGGATGCTATTAAATTGTGCAGTGTCTCTAGCATGAGTGGTTGCGCAGCGTTCACCTTCGTGATATGTGGTAGGCAGACTTGTGAGTGTTCTCGGTGTTGCAAACCATGCAAGCCTTTACACCTTTGGGTGCCAACCCGCTTTTCCGCCTCTCGGAGGTGTTGCCGGGGTCTCTGCGCTTGCCGGAGCTCCGATGGGCAGTAGTGGGTGCACTGTCCCGACCGGGTGTGAGTATGCCTCTCGGGTGCTGTAGCTAGTTGCAGGCACGTAACGTGATGCTCTGGACTCCTCACTGACCTGTGGTGGCCGAGGTAGCTGGTGCTTGTGCTGTAGTCGAGCCCAAAACTGCTCCCCCATGACGTGAACCTTGCGTTGGAGGCTACTGCCCAATCGCTGGGGGTCTGTTGTTGCGCTCAGGCATTGGTGCCGTCGGCTATTTTAATCAGACCTCGTGGCTCTAGCTTGCCAGCTGCGCGCCCTGGTGCAGCGCGTGGCTGGATGCTCTCTGCTCGGTTGTGTGGACCGGGATGACCCCCACTGGTCCTGGGGGGGAAGACTTTTCCCGGGGGTTCCAGTCCCTGCTTTTGTGCCCGGGGAGCGGACATCTCACTGTGGCTCAGTTGTAGGTAGGCTGCAGGCCTCAGTGTGTCCAGTCGGTTCCGCCGGTGCTTGGGAGAGGTACTGTTCAGTGCAGCAGCCTCTCCCGGTTGTGAATATCTTGGTCTGCGGCTTGTGAGTAGTAGTAGCTGGGTGTTATGCCCCGGTTTCTGTCCCCAGACGTGGGAGCTCTTGCCTAGCACGTCTGGGCTGCTCAGTTGCTTGGCTCCGCCACCAACATAAGCCAGTTTTGTGTGTACCTTGGTGTGATCTTATTTTTGAGCAATGAATCTATCTATGAGCTCGTTATGAGCTGTGCACAGCTCATCCATCTTACCTTCTGTGTGTGGAGATTTTACTAAAGTCTTCTTGAAGTGAGGAGTGGACAATCTGCAACACTGCATGCATCCTTTTTTCTGATGTTGAATAGTAGTTGGATAGCTCCCCCAGAAGTTATGATTCAGACGCAGTGTCCAATTGTGGAGAGGACGCATTGTCGTTGGCGCCCTCTTGGAAATGATGGAATGGGCTGTGGATCAGAGCCCCTCATTGACTATAAGAACTTTCCCTGGAGCCATCTGGGAGGAATAGTTCTGGAGCAAGTAGGAAGAATTATTATTGTTTTTGCAATGTCGGTAGCTTTGAGGGCTAGTCAGAAATTAAATAGAATATTAAATGAAAAATCAACTTATGGACACCTAAAATATTATGCTTCAAATGAAATCAGAAAAAATTCTAGACTTTTTAGACAAGTGAAAAATGAGTAAAAAAGATTGGGAATATATAAAGGTTAATTTTTCAAAATCACAATTTTTTTTCTTTTTTGTGGCTAAAATCGATAAGGATAAGGAATAAGGAATCTACCAGGGAGACGAATTATACCTGTTATAAAGTCCATATTAAATCTCCAGAGGTTGCTCAAACAAGTTCCCACTTGATCCTGAATGTTAGGATGCTCTCTTACAAACGTTTGTAGCCCAACTGCATAACCTGTGGCTTGGAATCATTTTGTGGCCTGCACTCCTGGTGGGATCCACTGAACGGAAAAATGGCTGATCTCCCAGCTTGGAACTACTGGCATCTGCGACAACTGTTTTTCAGCCCTGTCCTCCTTCACTCTGGATCGGTGGGGGATATCCCGGACCCCACTGGTGCACTCTTGTGGCCTACTTTACCAAGCATTGAAATTGTGGCCTAATCATCAAGATGGCTGCCCCACCAGTGCCTAAGGCGATATGCGCCTACTCATAGCCCCCCATCCATGTTGATCCACTTCTCCAGATGTTCGACCACATCTGTGCACAATTTTGGCTGAGGCGCAGCAACTGGGCACTCACCGCTGCTCCTGTACACCTAGTTAAGCCTGCAATGCGCAAACTACAATTACAGAAGAGGCAGCTGGGAAAGAAACCAAAGCGAGTGCCTCGCTGTCAAAGGAACAGCTCTTACCTGACTTGCGACCCGCACGGAGAAGGAAGCAAATGTGACCGCTGTGGCTGGAGAAAAACCGCCAAAGCTGGGTGAACAGAAGTTACCACAAGCGCAACCTGCAATCCCAGAAGATTCCTGCTCAGCAAGGATTCCTGCGTGCATTGAGCTGGATGCGAAGCCCGGTGCTCGTTATGGATCACTGCTGGAACCAGAGAGTCATCACACAGAATTATCCCAGCACTTGGAACCAGCGGGGTGAGCATATGCAGCTAGGACTCTCAAACCCCTGGGTCGGTAGCCTCCCACCCAAGGGCATCGGCTGACCGGTGGTATGACAAGACCGCAGAATCCCCACAGCTGTGCTTAGTCTCTGTTTTATTTTTCCATATGTAATTAATTTTTTGCACTTTTAGTCTCATGTGCAGAAGGCTAATATGATAATTTAACACTAAGCACCTCTTTATAAGCCACAAGCTGTTTTTAGTAGCTCTGTTATAGTGCCCTACTTAATCATCTGAAATAGTTAAACTTAATAATCCAGTGGTAATACATTTTGTTAAGCTAGTTTGTTAGCATGGTAAGTAGAAGTCACACTTCACAAATTAATGTCTGACTGATTTTACAAGTCATCCAGCTTAACTTTGTTGCTTATGAAATTAAATGTAACATGCTGACTGGTGTCTCAATGTCCTCTTCCCTCATAGTTAGACATGACAGAATAGCCTGAACAATATTATTCTCAAAAAAAATATACCATTTTACTAAAAGCCATGTTGTTGTCTTATGATATCTGTTACTATAACGCTTGTACGAGCTGTCGTGGCTTGATTGTAATCTTGCGCACAATAAAAATAAAGAATTAAAAAAAAAAAAATAAGGCATGGAATGTGCCCCAATATTGGGAGAAGATAATATAGACTTAATGACACCAGGTATTTGAATGTGATAATACAGGGCATATAAACTGACTGAGGAAGCCTCAGTTGTAGGTGGAATGCATTTTAGAGAGGATAGACCCTATTTCTAATGCTTTTTATTTTTTGTATATTGTTTTATGTACTGCTGTTCTTTTCACTTAAAATAAAGTAAATCTACCACTGAACCATCAAAAAGATCCTGAGTTGATTTGACACTAGGAGTGGCGTCCGACCAACAGACGCTTATGTGCATACGATGAGCCTGAGAGGGAAAGCTCTGGGGACATGTGAGTGAGATCACATTGATTTTTTAAAGTATATTTGTTTGGATGTACTACACCATATAACCTTTTTTATTC